GCAAGAAGATTTGGAGTCAACCCTAACCCTCTAAGTTGGCGGACACTGTGTTGAGTTGGCTTTGTTTTCTACATATTAAAACATCCAATAAATAAACGATAATAAGCCTATTTGGCTTTGAAAACATGAAATAAGAGTCCCAATCCATTTATTAATGGTGAAACATATATCTAATAAGAAACAAAAATCCAACTTTATATTAACAAATAAGTCTAAATACATTTTTTATCATTCATTTCTATTAAGTATACAGAAAAATGTTTCATTGCTAACATACAGCTTGCAGTATACCTGTTCGCCAACACAGGAAAGAGATTTTGATAGAAACAAAAAAAAAGGAAACGAACTAAGAAAAGGAGAGAAATCATTTTCATCCTAGGGCTTTAGTTTACTTTTACAAACACAGGAAACAGAAATTGATAGAAACCATAAAAAAAAGGAAATGAACAGAGAAAAGGAGAAAGACTTCTCCAATGACTTTTCTTCACAAACAATTTCCCCTGTTCATACAAAACATTTTAATTCTTTGAATGAATCGATGATGCTTACAGAGGGTTATTGCCAAGGCGCGGCAAGGGCGGGGCGACGGCGGTGCAACGGGGGGCAAGGGCTCATGCGTGCTCACGGGGAAACCTTCTCAATCTTCAGCAGCTGGCAAGGGCTTCAGGGAGAATGACTACTCATGGTCATGGGCACGCGCGGGAGTAGGAAAGAGTTCTCAATATTACATCGGTCACTATGTAAACCGATGTAGATCTCTTTATATTTGAGGCTTATTCACAAAAATGCCACCGTGATTTTAGTATTACATCGGTTCGTCTTAAACCCGATGTAGAATATTTAATATTTACATCGGTCCCACTTAAAACCGATGTAAATATGCTTAATATTATACACTTAATTACAATAATGCCACCGTGCCTTCTTTTTACATCGTTTCTGGGTTAACCGATGTAGAAATGGTGATGTAGAATAGTATTTTTGTAGTAGTGAATCCACAACACGATAACGATTTGTCAGACTTTACCACTTAAACAATAAAGTATAGTACTATATCAGGATAGGACAACTGGGTTTAGGCCTACCACGGCATTAGCTAGCTCAACTAAGCCACCTATGGGATTAGCCTACTGACTATCCTCCAAATACTACAACCCTCTGATACTCGGTTAGGAATTAAGTTCCTGACTTCGTACTTTACTCGAATTGGCCACTTGTAATCGGTATAGCTCGACTTGGCCCCAATACCGTGGTCATTTTATACACGTGTGCCTCAACCTTGCCCACACACGGGATCAACTAAGTTCTAGAGGAGAACAACACAACATCCACTCCAAAGGACAACTTCTTGAGAAGGGTTTTTCAACAAATTGGGCTCTTAGAGCACCACAACTATCTCAATCCATAATGGGATGAACAACTTCGAAAACATCTTCCCTAGTCCTAGTGATCAACAACTTATCATCACAGCTCAATCAACAAACAACTCAACAACACAGTTCAGCTCTACAACTCAAAATAAAAACACAACAACTCATTATATTTTTAGCACAACAACTCAATCAACACACAAATTTTCAACTCATATCCTCTTTCCTCAGCTACTCAACTTCACAATTAGTTTACAACACTATGCTCAACATGCATCTCAACGTCTCACAACTCAATCATCATTATTTAAATGTGACTTTCTACTCATCATACTTCTCAATGTAACTATACAATTCCATAACACAATTATCAACATATAACCCATCAACATACAACACCTAAAGTTCCTTATCATACAATATTTCTACACTTATTCATCATCATTTAACAATAATACAACTCAACCAACAAGCTTTAGACATATAAGTCATTCACCAAGCAAACAACCAACTCATTAAGAAAAGAAATTTATCAAACTGAGTTCCCACGCTCAACCTCAGCCTTCCAGAGGCACAACTCAGCTCCCACGCTAAGCCTAGAATCCCACGCTCAGCATGAACCTTCCAGAAACACAACTCACTCCCACACTAAACCCTGGATCCCACGCTTAGCCTCAGAGTTCCAGCAGCATTCGCAAATTGTCACGCTAAGCGTGAAAACTCACGCTTACCGTCCCAAATGTAGAAAATTCATACCAGTTCATGAACAGTTCAAATCTTCCAACTCTCTCAATCTATGAATGGATCAAGGCATGCAAACCAAAATACTTCAAGAATTGACATCATACAACACAGAAAATCCAAGAATAACCACATGCATCCACAAAACTTAAGAAGATCATCAAATTTCAATCTTGCCTCAAGAACAACAAAATCCCCAATTTCTACACAAAACCCCTTCGAATCTATTCCACATTTTGCAGATTTCACAAATCTACCAACAATAATCTTCAATTCGTTTAATAGCACCACACTTTTAAACCCAAAACCCCAAAATTCCAAGCTTCCCTTACCTTGGAATGGAGCAAACGACGAACTTCCGCACAACTTTGAGTTTGAAGGAGATGAAGAATGGTTGATGGACAGCCTTGGTGCTCACCACCTCAGCCTCGGAGAAAAGAAATCAGAAATCAAGGTTTAGAGACTTGAGAGAAAAATGAAAGTGAAGGATGTTTAGCTTGCAGATTTGATTGTTTTTTTCAAAAGTTTTCTCACCCATATATTTTTTAGTTTTTACATTTTACAAATTTAAATTTTAAAATGCATATTAAATTAAAAATTGATTTACATAATTATTTGTATTTTTTTATTAAGTATTTAAAAAATTTATTCATATATAAATTTTTTTTAAAAATGTTCCTGTACAAAAAAAACAAATCCATTTGTATTATGATGACATCAATTATACCATTATTTAAAA